AATTTGACAATGATATTTCGGACTCACAAACTATTCGAATTCGATGTTGGTTCGTGCTAGGGATACTGAGCAGAATAATGTTCGGAAATGGCCCAGAAGGTAATTATGTCTATATAATCTGTCTTGTAATTACTGACGGCCTGCCGAGCCATCGGTCAGCTTATTCGTGGTTCGGCTTAATACCTTAATATAGCAAAGCACAATATATTAGCAATCTTGATAAACTCACGATGTATTATTGTAATTTGTGATAATTGAGTAAGACAATTTCGTACACAAACAATAACAGGATCAGTAAAGATAAAGTTAAGTGAAGTTACAAGATAAATAATTAGCTTAGCACTTACTCATACAAGTTTAGGACTTAATCTATAGGAATAGGGATAATTTTAGGCTGATGAGGATAAATGTAAAGCAAAGAAATAGAAATGAATTCTTTTAATGAATTTGTTTTTCAAGTCATATTGATATAAAGGTCATTTTAATGATAAAAATAAACAACTTTATTACATTGCTAAAGAAATTAAAATGCCTATCTTCATAAGTTTTTTTTTCTTATCTCTTATCTTGATCTACTAAAAAACACGTTTATCTTTTCTTGGCATTTTACAAAGCACGTAAAGAATATCAAATAAAAAACAAAAACTTGCAACACCCAAATAAGAAAGGAAATCCAGTATTATGACGATCTTCTTTAATGGTTGAGAATTTATTCTTGATGAATAGGCGGACGACAGAGCGGGATCAATACGCCACCAGCGTCAAAACCGTTTCCGGGACTACTCTCCTTTGTAAATACCCGCATTGACTACCAATAAAACGTCGAGATCTTTAAAAAAGGGAATCTACTGCAGTTTACTTGCCTACAAAAAGTTTCTGTCAAAGAAAACAAAAACTTTGCAAGCCTAAGTTTTTAACAATTTATTGGAAACAAATTTGTCATAGACGCTTTTCCTTAAGTGGTTTCCAACTTAGGTGTACACCATATGCAGTAACAATTTAACGACGAGTCCAAACACAATCGTACCTAATTGATTTGTTTAGAGTCGAGAGTACATTTAGATTCCAGTCATTAGTAATTGTCAATAACGGTAATGGATGCAATACCTTACTCGGAAATTGTGAAGTAGCATCGGCTTGCTAACTAGACATGAGGATAGCAAAGGTGAAACCATAAATAGATGCAGCGAACTTTATAAGTACACGTATATTTTATAAAAGTACTAGCTGGCCCAGCAAAATTCGTACCGGCAAATAGGGGTTAGTGGTAGAAGCGGGATATTTAGTGTTAAAACTATTTTTTGTGACAAATTATAAAAGAAAATATCCAATAAATATATATAAAATCTGGACAAGGCCACTCTTATCACCAAAGGGTAAAAATAATAATAAAAATAGCCTACGACTTATTCTCAGACCAACCAAATATACACAAAAAAACCATAATAATCGGTGAAGCCGTTTCGGAAAAGTTCGATAAGATATTAGTTTAAATAGATATTCCGTCCCATCGCATTAGAGGTCACATTATGCAAATAAACATTTAAATAACGTTTTATCAAGTGCAGTACCAAATCTCGAAGAATGGATGTACGTTTCTGTCGAATAAGTTTTTCCTGGATCTAAAAGGTATATTTTTGCCAATGCTTATCTTAGCAAAAGCTATTTTTCTGTTTCAGTATTCTTAGTAAATCTATTATAAATATTTATATTATTCCGGAAAAGAACGTTCCGACCTTATTTCAAGAAATAATACTTTTTATGATAACTTATGTGTTGTATACACATAACTTAATCTTATTATATTACCTTAATCATATTACCTTTTAGAGAATGGATATATTACCTTTTATCAAAAAATAAAACATGTATTAATAACTATCTCTTTGTTTTAGGGTTTCGTACCCTAGGTTAAAAATGATTCCATAATAAAAAGTTACCCCCCAAAGGAGGTAAACATTTGTCGTTCTGAGAAATACTCAGTACCACAAGCACGAACTTTGACAGAACCGTATCCGTATCGTCATCGTTAAAGTTTCTATGGAAACTAAGCAGCCGTTACCGAACGTAAGAAAAAGCTAGCTCCTTTCATAGAAACTTTAACGATAGTGATACGAATACTTTATCGCTAATAATTCGTACTTGGGATATTGATATGTCAATAAATGCGATGAGATTTTTTTTTCGTTGCGTTTCTACCGTATATTTATCTGGAGATTTATCCTTAGTATAATGCGAATGTTCAAACGACATTTCAATGAAATCCAAGCATCTGACTTTACTACAACCCAAAAGAACAAATCGGCTAAGATAAACTTTTATTTCAGCATTCCTTGAAAATCTTTAAAAATGTGCCCGTTTTCCAGCTACGCGCACAATGGGCGGGTGCGACCGTGGGAAACAAATAGACAGTGTCACGCACACGGCCCCAGCGAAGAATTGAGCACTGTTATAATTGCTTTTAAGGCAATCACTATTTATCGTTTGTCACGCCACGTAGGATTCTGTGTATACAGAAATGCAGCATTGATGATATTTTATAGCATCATTTAATTATAATTGTTGAATATTTCATTCGGTAAACACAGGGAAAATCAACTATACTACACAAAAGTAGTTGGCGGCAAAATAAGATTATAATACATATTGACTTTGTGATACAACTGTAAAACCAGGACTTATGACCGTAGATTTTCACAGGATAACATATTAGCAAAGCTATAGTACAGGTTAACAATATAGCTTGTACAGGTTAATACTGCCTAAGGAAAGCAGTATTGAGAATTTCATTTTTGGTACTACATTTTTGAAGCCAGGGGCAGGCCATATTCAATAGGTATATTCTGTGATCTTTCTAAAGTGTTTGATTGCGTTAGCCACGACATAAATTATTGAAGAATTGGGGCATGATGGTGTTTCTATCAAATCAGTCGACCTTATTAAAATATGATCTCTCTCTCTGATCAATACCAAAAAAAATATCAATAACTGAATCCGCTGGAACCCCTTTGGTTATAGGCTTGCCTCAAGGATCAATATTAGGATCTTTATTATCTATATATACTTATAATAAATCTGTAGAGAGGTCAATTCTGTACATGAAATATATTTTCAAAATAACTATCAGGGGGTGATTAGTGATCGATACTGATGCCAAAAATGCAATCAGTAAAATTTTTGTCTGTCTGTCTGTCTGTGTGTATGTTCCTTATAGAAACAAAAACTACTTTACGGATTTTAACGAAACTTGGTACAATTATTCTTCATACTCCTGGGCAGGTTATAGTATACTTTTTATCACGCTACAGTCAATAAGAGCAGAGTAGTGAAGGGAAATGTTGGGAAAACAGGAGAAGTTACTCCATTTTTTTAGCTTCCGTTGCGTGTGCAGCCTTAATGGTTAAAGTTACATAGAAATCATGTATCACGGAAATATTCTACATAAAATTGTCTAAAAAATATCCCGCAACAGCATATCTTTTATGGTTGACTCACAATAACACGTGTAACTCCTGATAGCGTAGCAGTTCGGAGCATTCTGATTATATTTGTTTACTCTTACGTTTATAATACTCTCACTCATCCCTAATTTAAAAAAGTTAACATTATTACCTATTCAATAAAAAAAGAATCATAGAAATCGGTATAGAAACACCAAACTTATACATGAAATAAGTCATCGCGCCGTCGCACGTGAATACTGAATCATGCTATAAGGATTATTTTTGTGTAACGATTGCCGCGCTCGACACGGGTCGCGGCGGTGGTAGGTATAAGAAGAATGCCATTGTGTATAATACAGGCCTGAGAACAATAACTATAGTATACACTTCAGCTCTACACCGAAGCGAAGCGAGGGCGGGCCACTAGTTTTTAATATATATAAATGACCTACCTTACTACACAAGCCCCTTGTGTGAAACAGTGCAATTTGCCGCCGACACTTTTTTTATTTTTAAAGTTGACAGAGGCAGCAATTGTTCGAACGAGCTAAATAGTGCTCCTTCAAAAGTTTTACATTGGTTCACAGTAAATAATCTTTCGATGAATTCAAAGAAAACTAAATTAATTAAATTTTCTGTTCCAAATGTAAGGCAGGTTAATACACCTTTAAATATGAACGAAGAAGTAGTATCTCTTGTTGAGAGTGTAAATTTTTTAGGGATAACTTTAGATTCCAGATTGTAATGGTATACTTATATTGATTCTCTGTCAAGTAGACTTAGCTCAGCGGCGTATGCTGTAAAGAATAAGGATTCTGAGTGATGCTGAAACAGCAAAGTTAGTCTACTTTAGCTATTTTTTAGCTATTTTTATTAATCATTTATAACAACACATTGCCGAATTATAATTATTAATTTTAGGGTTCCGTACCTCAAAAGAAAAAAAGCGGAACCCTCATAATAATAATAATAATAAATAAATATTTCCATCACCCACACCAATTAGCGTAGCCCCAAAGTAAGCACCCTCATAATAATAATAATAAATAAATATTTCCAACACTCACACCAATTAGCGTAGCCCCAAAGTAAGCACTGTAGGTTTGTGTTCTGGGATACTAGGGTAACAGATAGAATACATATACAGTACATATATAACTATATTTATATAGAAATACATATTAAACATCCATGACTGTAGTACAAATGCTCGTATTCATCACACAAATATCTGCCCCCACCGGGATACGAACCCGGGACCTCTCGAGTCGGCGACACCATGAAACCCGGCGTACAAAACACTCGACCACGGAGGTCGTCAAGGTCGTCATAGAATCATATTTTTGTCCATCTCAAGACCATTTATCTCGGGAACCCGTATCGAGTTGATATCAAAACAATACTCAAATCTACGGTCCCTCGAAAATTTGAAAATTCAAACTTGCAAGTTAACATAAAAAGGATACGGCTGTTTATGTTCTGTACCTATCAATTTGTACGAAACCCACATTGAGCGATTCTGATTCAAACTTGTCAGGTTTTTTTACAACTCACACCAATAATTTGGTCTACAATGGCATAGAAAATTTTGCCTTTAGATAGGAATGCCCGCCTTTTTTTTGTTAAAAGGGTGGCAAACAAGCGTATGGCCCGAGACTAGACGCTTAAAATATCACACGCACCATTGCCTACTCTGACCCATTCCCCACCCCGTAGAGCCCTAGGACCGTTCTCACCGACGAAAAGACTACACCACCTAAAGGTAGTGTTATTTCACTGCGGTCTTCAGACGGGCGCTCCAATTCGAGCGGAAAGGCCGCTTTGCCCTACCTGTCTTTTTCCGTCTTGCCGTCGGGCCGCCCGCGTGGCAAGTGAGCTTTCTGTGTCGTTCTTTCTACCACTGCGTTAAAATTAAAACACGTCAGGCGGGCCGCTGGGGTTGCGTTCAGTAATTGCACTCTGTGCGCGGCTGTCGCTATTTGGGCGCGTGGATAGCACTTGCGGCCTTAATATTTATTTAATATAATTTATTATCTATCTTATGAACTCTAATTATTTATGTCTCAGTTTATGTATTATTATGTAATTATTTATGTATATTGTCTAGCAATCTCGTACAGGCCACGCCAGAATACCAGCGCTGTTATGGTGGGAATATTCCATTCCTACTATAACAGCATTAAGCTGAGGCAGGGTCCTGATTGGCCTTTTCACTCTCTCCATATTTTTGAACACTGTTGTTATTTTATTTTTGTTGTTTTGTTTATTGTTTTTTTTTTCATGTGTAAGGTCAATAAAAGTTTTTTCTTTCTTTCTTTCTTTCACTGAATCGCCGATTCCTGTTGATAAGGTCTATATATTTTTTAATTACATTTATAATTATTTAATGCTTTCTTGTTGTGCAAATGTTGTTCGAGAAAAATATTATTAAAAATATTTACTTTAAAACATATATTTTGTGTTTATTTCCAGATGAACTTATTCACACAGCGAATATATCAAAACCTAAACATTGTTTTTTCTCTACGACTGCCCACAAGGTTCACTATGAAACATTGAAGAAACTTAATATATTGCAGAATGTATTTGTTTTCGGAAAAACAACAGAAGAGGGGATATCATTCGATGACCTTTTTTCTGAAGAGGCTAAAAAAGATGTATTACCAGCTGATCATCAAGGTAATTAATAAATAAGCTGACGTACAAATTTTCAGGTTTAAATATTTTAAAGATGTAAAAAATATTATAATTTTTCGTAGATAGGTTAAGCTAATTTGGATTCAAATTTTAGACATTAAGTAGTTCTAAAGTTGTTGTAATTTAATTTTGTATATATTGTTATAGTTAAAAAATATTTATATAAATAATTATATTTGCTTTGGTCCTTGTATCATCAACATTATCAAGTAATGAATTAAGAACCTTTGGTGATTGACATAATAGTCTAGTCCTCCTGTCTTTTTTCCACTGTTTGGGGTAAATTTTTTGACACAGTTTTAAATACTCTTACTGTATTAAATTTTTATGACTGATATTTATGTTTTCGGGGATGCTGAATCTGAATATGAAGTCAGAATTTAATTTCGACAATCGCGCTTTGAGTAATTAGCCAATATTATGGTGCCTGCAAATCTCAAAGGTAGAATCCGGTATACTCGCGTTTTACTTAACCAATTGTGACATACTTTGGCTAGAAATGATCGTGAGGGATTTCTCTAAATATCCCTGAAGTTAATTCATTGAATAAAATTTTCTTACCTATTTTTTTGAGTCACTTGTTTTTATCGTTGCTCCTGGGCTCAATTATGGACCAAATGCTCAAAATTTCCCGAAATACATAGAGAGCATCACAAACTTCAGTTTCGCACTTTGTTTTTTCTACATAGACCCATTTATTGCCCCGCAATCGTCAAATATAGTATTTTTTAGGGTCCCGTAGTCCTAACAAGGAATCCTTATAGTTTCGTAATGTACGTCTGCCCGTCCCCGGTTTTGTTTTGAGATTATTAGCACTAGAGAACTGGTAATGGTGCCCCCTTTATGTAACCTGTGGATGATTTTTTTTTGACGTGACAACGTCTTAAATTAGGTTGCGGCTGGGAGTCACTTATGAAAAAGTGTAACGCTCGGTAACGTTACGATGAGTCTCTCGTGTTAAGTTTAAGTTTACATGTACAATGTTTTAGTAAACAAAATATATTTCTATAGTTAAAATTTGTGCAATTCTTATTTTCATTCAATTCCTTGTTCCTATTGTGCAATTTAATTATATTCATATCAATAAATATTCTACCGAGAAAAAGACGTTGTCACGTAAAATCTTCGCCCGTAAAACCGACTTTACAGGCAACCATTTTTTTATCATCTACCCCATTGTGTGGGATACCGATGTTAAAAAAAAATTAAATTACTTTGGTTTTTATAAGACTATTTTCGATTTACGGATCCGTTTGCGAAATATTGAACTTTAAAGTTCAAATTTTTGTTCGAGTAGGACGATTTTGACTTTGAGGTACTTTAGTTGAGATACATAGATTGATATTAATTGGTTTTTCTAATTTCCGACACAGAAAATAAAGACTTGTACTCAATTATATTGTGGTTACTACAGGCAACTACGGAACCCTACACTGCGCGTGGCACTACGCGCACATGGCTGGTTTCTTAAATATGCGATTGCAGCGCCGTATTTGTAAATATCAAAAGTTCATTTGAAAGAGAATAAAAATAATAGCGATTCATATGAAAATAAAACAAAAACCTAAAATCGGATACTCGGATATGACACAGTGTATTTGCTAATCACTGATAGCTAATAGTCGAAATTAAATTCTGACCTCATATTTGAATTCAGCACACTTGAAAACATAAATATCACTCATAAATTACTGATTCAAAAATTTTACCCCTAAAAGGCAAGACCGGCTGGACTATAATGACGATGAAAATCCAATCATGCAAAACTTAGTTCAACAATTCATTTTGTATTTGCAGGTAAAGTTCAAACCTCATTAATACTCTATTCTTCCGGCACAACTGGTTTACCAAAAGGAGCAAAAATTACAAATCAAAATTTAATCACGACACTATTTCAGAAACAGTAAGTGCCTTATTTGTTTGACTCATGAATGCAAAGTTCTTGTTAGCCGATTTTTAATTATTAATAAGGCAAATTATATTAACATTACAAGCATTCCTCTGCTCTTACTTAGCAATACCTAAGAAAGAGCAGAGGAATGGCAGAATGTGAAGAGGTATTGGGAGATACGGAATAACAATATTGTGTAGTATTCCACGGAGTAGTTAAATAGTATTCAAGACACAAATTAAAGTCAGGTAAATGGGACACATCTGTAAATGCAAAGCGACTCAAAATATACCATTATAAGTATCTAGGAATCAAAATATTGTTTGCAATACAGTATCAATCAAAATATTGTTTGCAATACAATAGACGACCTCCGGCCGAGTGGTTTGTACGCCGGGTTTATGGCTGTCGCCGACTCGAGAGGTCCCGGATTCGAATCCCGGTGGGGGCAGATATTTGTGTGATGAATACGAGCATTTGTACTCCAGTCATGGATGTTTAATATGTATTTATATAAATATACTTATATATGTACAGTATATGTATTCTATCCGTTACCCTAGCATCCCATAACACAAGCCTTATAGTGCTTACTTTGGGGCTAGGCTAATTGGTGTGAGTGTCGGAAATATTTATTTATTATTTTCTAAACAATATTTAGCAAAATTTGTATTCTAGGTTGACTATTTAACAATTTACCACTACATTTTGTAAAACAAAAAGAAATTGAAGTTTTTGACTATTTTGGGAAATCCCAAGTCAACGGTGGCGTTAATTACGTACTTGATCTCTAGATACATTTGACGATTGTTAATCACATTTTTATGTCGTCTTGTAAAATATACACGTCCAAATTTATATTGTTTCAGGATAACTAGTAATGATTCAACTTTACTTACTGTTACACCATGGTGTAACACTTACGGGATTATGACCATGAAAGATGGGTTGTCGTATGGTCGTACAATTATATTTTTGGAAAGGTTTGAAGAGACTATGTATTTGCAGGTGATCCAGAAATATAAGGTCAGCTATGCTCCATAACACATATAATGAAATAAAACCTACAAATAGAACAATAATACTGAACTGAATAACGGTTGGTACGAGGTTGTTGGAGCACTCTTATATCCTGCTTCAATTATGGGTTGTCGTATGGTTGTTTATATTTTTAGAACGGACCCAAGAGAATATGTATTTGCAGATGATCCAGAAATATTAAACGTACTATGCTCCATAACATATCTAATAATATAAAACTTACAGATAGAATAATAATACGGCACTGAATAATTGTTGTTACAAGGTTGATGGAGCATCTTATCTCCTGTTTCAATGATCCTGGGTGTGAATCCCTGTAGAGCATTTATTTGTTTAATGCCTTATATTTTGTTCTAGACTAGGTAAAAGGTACAACAGTACCAGAAAACAATAAGTACCATACTCTCAACACAGTAGAACCATGACGTCTGTGAATATTATAAATAAATAAATAAATATTTCCAACCAATTAGCCTAGCCCCAAAGTAAGCACTATAAGGCTTGTGTTATGGGATACTAGGGTAACGGATAGAATACACATACTTTACATATATAAGTATATTTATATAGAAATACATATTTAAACATCCATGACTGGAGTACAAATGCTCGTGTTCATCACACAAATATCTGCCCCCACCGGGATTCGAACCCGGGACCTCTCGAGTCGGCGACGCCATGAAACCACTCTGCCACGGAGGTATAATATTCTTACTTACGGACTTAATAGTTGTAGTTGTCTAGACTGTATTATTGCCATTGTAACTTCAGGCTGCGTTCCCATCTAGTGCTCAGGACAGTTTCATGCGAGCAAACATTTGTTTGCTCGGCAAATGTAATGCTCAAAACAGTGTTGCGTTATTTTAATTGATAACTGAGTACGAGAGCATTCGTTCCCTGGATCCAGTCAAACATCGTTGTACGAACTTCTTCACTCGATCTGGTGTTTCCATTTACCGAGCGAGCAAACGTTTGCTCGTTCAGAGTTATTCTGACATTAAGTGGAAACGCAGCATTAACAGAGTTAACAAGGGGCAATTTTATCCAAAATATAACTTCACTCCTGATTCATTTAGTGAACATAAGAACCCAATTTTACATGATTGACATTCATATTACTTTAATTCTTTCTAAATGGCCATATCACCTAACACATAACTTAATTCGATGAGACCTCATCCGTCAAAATCGGTTTAATTGTCGTAAGCGATTCCACAAAAGTAGTCTATGCCTTTCATTAATATTCCAAATTATATTTTGCAGTAAATGCGAGAAATTTTAACAAAAAGAAAGACAGGTAGAATTTATTACACTTTGATAGTATGATATTAAAGTTATAAACTTTTTTTTTAGGTTAAGGCTTTAGTGGTTGCTCCACCAACTTTAATAGTTATGTCCAAATCATCAGTGTTAGACATGTACGATGTGAGCTCTGTGGAGCTGATGCACTCTGGCGGTGCGCCTTTAGACTCCGACGTCATTACTTTAGTCAAATCCAGGTATTTATTCTTATGCGTTATCCACATCTATTACCGTGCGTACCATGTTAAAAAGATTCAAATCAAATTAAAACAAAAATATATTTGTTCTTCAAGGCAATAGAGGTCCATATACTTTTCTTATTCATTAGGTAGGTACTATGTTGTTAGCGTGCTCCCCTGTGGTGCCTGAAATAAGTTTAAGCAATAGAAACTTGTCACAGTCCCACCAGAGATAAGAGGAATTCCTTAAATACAATAATACCTTCGAGCACATAATCTATTCAATTACAATCGCAATGAAAAAGAAACCAATATGTAATAATAAGCAAGAAAAATTATTATTTGTCTTATACGTATCATTTCGTAATCGTTGGTAAGGATCCTCCTTAAGTAGAGTGATAAATAAAATAATGACTATTTTTTTTATTGAGTGCTAATTTTCATAATCTGATATCCTTTAAATGGTCTAATTTTTAAAACATACTACCTATGATAACTATTTCAGATTCAAAAATTTACATCATGTAACCCAGGGTTACGGGATGACAGAAGCTACTGGAATCATATGTAGGGATATTGATTTATATCCCAAGCAGGGTAGTGTGGGAAAGGTTTTAGAAGGAATTACAGTTAAGGTAAATTTAACAGTCAATAACATATCTTTGAGTAGTTTTACAAATATTCGTTTCATTCTATTTATTTGCCTAGTAAATAATAGTTTTTAGTCTGACTGTAACATGAGCCTCATCATTAAATTTCTAATATTATCGCGATGTGCCATTTGAGCGAAGCACACAATAGTTAACGAAGTTATACTAAGTTCCGATGGGTCAACTCGTAAAATGTTGCATTTCGTACGGCTAATGGCATTATCAACGCTAGTTTATGATATTCTGGTGAAACGATACAACACAGCTTCAAATTGTAATTATCTTAAAATTTTATATGTTTAACATTGCAACATGCAAATAGAGAATGCTTAGTTTTCACATTGGTATCATTTATTACTTCCAAACACAACAAACGATAACGATACACGGATTGTGAACATAATAATTATTTATAAACAATTATCTAAACTTTAAAATAACTTTAATGTCCGTGTTGCTTATTCTTAAACCACAAAATAGATTTTATTGGACTCTTCTCAGGTAGTAGACGCGCAAACAAGAAAAATTCTCGGACCTAATCATGCCGGCGAGGTTTGTGTCAAAGGACTGGCTTTATTTGACGGGTATATTGGCAAGGAACGTGGTGATGATTTTGACGAAGAAGGCTTTTTCAAAACCGGTGATGTGGCATACTATGACAATGAAGGCTTCTTTTTTATAGTCGACAGGATCAAAGAGTTAATCAAATATAAGGCATGGCAGGTGAGTGGACATAATAAATTAAGGTTATTCAGTATAAGAACAGTTATAATTCTAGATTGAGATTAGAGATCCATAGCTCGTAACACTGAATTAATAATTTTTTACCTTTATATTTTTATTTTATTAAGCATTGGACTGCTAGATGATTAAATCTAAAGAAAATTTTACAAGAAAAAAAATCCAAGCGGACCAGGCAGCAGACGGGACTCGAACCCACACCCTTCGCTATCCGAGCGAATGCACCGACCATTATGTTTTACCTTGTTAAATACCACCTAAGTGTAATAATAGTAAATAATCTTAAAGTAACTTTTTCATTATTTTAGGTATCACCCTCCGAATTAGAAGCTGTTTTGCTGTTACACCCTTCGGTTAAAGATGTTGGAGTTACAGGCATACCGGACCCTACTGCAGGAGAACTTCCGGTTGCGTTTATAGTTAAGAAACCTGGTGCCTTTGTAACAGAGAAAGAAATCTTTGACTTCGTTGCAACAAAGGTTAATCAATATTACTATAACAGCTTAAATTCACGATTGACGAATACGGAAGGAAATTCTAATTCTGGAAGAATTCGTGATAATTGATTATATTTGATACCTTTCACGGTTATTGAACTTGATTATTTTTAGAGTCAATAAGTGTAGTAATATTAGCAAATAAAATGAGTGTATTCTCAAAGCAATTACGAGATAAAAATACTTACTTATACTCAACTACGTATAAATCTTTGGAACAATTATAATCTTGTGGAGTAATGAAAATTGCTGATTCCAGGTTTCTCCATGGAAAAGGCTAAGGGGTGGTGTAATATTTATTGAGGAGATACCAAAAACAGGTAGCGGAAAAATATTGCGGCGACAGCTACGAGCGATGATCCAAAAGAAGCCTAGCAGTAAATTATAATTAACATAGATGATAAAGTACAGAAAATAATTTATAGCATGAACGCTTTATTTACTGAATAATAGATTATACGAACAATCGACAAACACCGAACACGAACAAAACTTGCAATATGATATGTTTAAATGTTGGAATAATCACGACTTATTATAATGCACTTCACACAAAAGACGTGATCGTTCTTTAAAAAATTGGTTTTTAACAGCGGCAATAAAAACGTAGATAAGTATAGGTCGATCGCTTAACTGAGACCTCGCCTGTGGGGTACAGGGTGTGGGGGAGGATGATAACGAGGACCGTGAGAGGTGCGGGCGGCGAGCATTTGTAATCTATATATATAAAACTCAAAGGTGACTGACTGACATAGTGATCTATCAACGCACAGCCCAAACCACTGGACAGATCGGGCTGAAATTTGGCAGGCAGGTAGATGTTATGACGTAGGCATCCGCTAAGAAAGGATTTTGATCTAGCCCCAAGAGGATAAAATAGAGAATGAAAGATTGTATGAAACTTTGTCAATTTTAAACTGATCGGGCTGAGACTTTGCATGCAGGTATAAGAAGAATCATAGATGAATGTCATTGTGTATAAAACAAGCCTAAGAACAAAAACTGTAGTCTACACTTCAGCTCTACACCGAAGCGAAGCGAGGGCGGGCCGCTAGTTTTGACAATAATTTGTCTGCCGCCCGCACCTCTCACGGTCCTCGCTTTCGCCCTCCCCCACACTCTTTACCCCGCAGGCGAGGACTAAGTTAAGCGGTCTACCTATATTTAAATATATGTATTTTACATTCTTCTTTTACATCTTATGGCATTATGTCCGCCGTTTTTTTTGCTGTAAAGCATACTTGTGATTTGCGGACGGACAGTCCAGAATGATGAGATAGGTGATAAGATTTCGTTATCACCCTTAGGATATGGAACCCTGGAAATAATAATTAATATGACCCAAGAGGATCTTGACCTGCGATATTAATAAATAAGCTTTAGTGTTAAAAGTTACAATATGATTAATAAGTATACTTATTTAATGAAATAAAGCAGCTCTAATTGAGGAACTTTATTATTTTATTATTAAAGTGAAACAATGATAATGGTACATCATAATCTTAGTTTCAAGGTCTATAGCGAGTTATACTCTACTGTACCTACGTTACCTTATCACGAGTGCGTCTATAAGCTATGGCCATCGCTTACCATCAGGGGGCGAATAGCGTCACTAGATTGCTATGGCTATCGCTATCGCTTATATTTGGTTTTATTATTTCTGGCCGCCTGAGATTTTTAAATGCCTCGCGCTCTTTTTTTTCTTTTGCGTTGGTAATAACAATATTAAAGAAAATGAGCGTGAGGTATTTTAAAAAACCTTAGGCGGTCAGAAATAACAAAATGAAATCGTAAGCGATAGCGATAGTCATAGCAATCACGTAAGGCGATTAACCCCCAGGTGGGATATTTGTTTGTTTGCCACCTTTTTTTACATAAAAGCACTATTAATCATCAGCATCACACATCACATTATAGCAATTCATTAAATTTATATAACTTGACGTAATCATTTTATCATTTTTTTGTGTATACAAACAAAGCATTTGTAGATAAAGCCACTATCTTGGTCATAATAAATTGTTTACCTATCGTCGTGAGTACTGACAAAGCAAAACTCAATCCTAATTTGCGTAATAGTAATCTAAAGAAAATCTTACTAGAAAAAATATCCATGCGAACCAGGCAGCAGACGGGACTCGAACCCGCACAAGTGTGTGGATTCGAGTCCCGTCCCGAATAGCGAAGGCGCTGTCCGAGCAAATGCACTGACCATTATGCTACCGCGGCCCTGATGACGTCTCGATTTTTCTCTAGTATTTGCTGCCTGGTTCACGTGGAATAGTAGTTACGCGATTCCAGTGCAGATTGGTGGGCGCTATATAGTGACTGCAGAGTTAACATGTATTCCGAAGCTCGGAAGAATTTCATATAAGTAATGCAGAGAGGTAGCTGCTAAGTAGTGACCGCAGATGCGGTCGAGACCAAGTAATAAACATGTCTTCCAAAGCTCGGAAGAATTTGTTTTTGGTCTAAATACTGATGCAACGACCTTCTCAATCAGTTAAAAAAATCAGGTTTGCTAAACAATTGAGGGGTCTTCTTTCAATTACTTTAATTTAATTTTCATCCCACTACCTCGGAAAGTGTAATTTTGCGCTTCGAAATCTGGCTGGAAAATTCTATTTTATTCGCTTGAGCGGCAAAGTAGATTTGAATTTAGAACATCACATATAATGAGTACTCAATATAATTGTAAATTCAAAACGTCATTAAACCTATTTAATGTAACCTCTATGGTGCCAAATTTATGATTAGAACTTTTTAAATTGTGAAAAAATTTAAATTTGGAACCTTCTTGGTTTCTTTGTTTTATTTGCGTGCTTCGCGCCATTCTAGTTTTTCACGTTTTATTGCTTAATATAATTAACATAACCTAAAAACTGTACAAAAAAATCAACTAAAATGAGTGACATTAGCGACGATGAAGTTTATCTAACGCCAACTGAGTTAACTGAAACAGTTAATAATGCGCAAATGAGCCTTCTCCCTCAGCAATCACGAGAGAAGTATTTGAAACAGTACGATATATTTAACATGTGGCGACTAGCTAAAGGAGCAAAAACTTTCTCCGAAAACGTTTTGCTGGCATATTTTATAGAATTATCTGAGACCAAGAAAGCAAGCACGCTATGGAGTACGTATTCAATGCTAAAATTAACAATTAAGATGAAGAAAGACGTTCATATCGACACCTATCATAAATTAGTGGCATTTTTAAAAAGAGCCTCATCTGGTTATAAACCAAAAAAATCGAAGGTTTTCACAGCATCTGAAATTGCAAAGTTTATTAATGAAGCACCTGATTCCGTATATTTAGCGGCAAAAGTAAGTCAATACGTGTAATTTTTTGTTGTTGATAAAATTGTACATAGTACTTACAATATTTTTAATTTGATTAATTTATTTACGATTATAAATACTTCTTTTGTTACAGGTTGTTCTTATTATTGGTATAACCGGAGCATGTCGAACAAATGAACTTACACTACTTAATGTCAATAACGTATCAAAATATTCTCATAATTCTGATGAATTGCTATTAATTAATGTACTAAATACCAAGACAAAAAAAGACCGCAACTTCGTTATTCGCAAGGAATATGTAAACATTGTTCAGAAATATCAAGCTTTACGTCCTTCTAACACCCCAATTGAACGATTTTTTCTACAATATCGCAACGGAAAGTGTATCCGACAACCTATGGGTCAGAATAAAATTGGCAGTATTCCACGAGAAATAGCAACTTTTCTCGGACTTTTAGAACCCCCGTTATACACCGGTCACTGTTTTAGAAGAACCTCAGCCACACTTTTGGCCGAATCAGGGGCTGATCTTCTATCGCTTAAGCGCCATGGAGGCTGGAAGTCTAATTCGGTTGTAGAGGGATACATAGAGGATTCAATCCAAAGTAAATCAAAAATTTGTAATAGTATCGTGGAGGCCATAACGCTGAAAGAACCTCTGTCAGATTCTTGGTCTCGCCCTTCTACATCTAAAATGAGCCCCCATAAGATTGGAAACAATAGCCCTCTCTCGCCAACATTTACGCCAATAGAATCCAATGAATCGGCACAACTATTTAAAATTACTGATACGAGTAGTTTACCACAAAACAGCGCACAATTCACAAACACCAACATAACATTACCTAACAAAAATATTAAACTTAACATAAGTAACTGTAGCAACGTTACATTTAATATTTCTTAATTATTTTCTACTTCTTATTATTTTCTTCAATTTATAGATTATCTTAATGTGTTTTAATTGAAATAAAAATATTTTGTCATTATAAATTGTTTTCTTTTTCATTTTGTCATTTCCTCGCTGAGGTGGGATGAAAAGTTACGTATTGCACTCGAGTGGAAAGATTTTTCACCTTGTGCTCGTTTGTTTCCCTCGCTGACGCTCAGGATTCTAATTTAGAATCACTCGCTGCGCTCGTGATTCAACTTTAGAATCCTTCGCTTGCTCGGTCATCCAAATCGAGCACGCGGTTAAAAAGGAACTTTCCACTCTTGTATAATAAATAACTATTTTATCATTTGTCATTATAACAGCAAAAGTAATCCAAAATTCGTTTTATAACTGTTTACTCATTACGATTCATAAAATAAAGCTCGTTGTCTGATAGACGGACGTACATACTGACGGACGTACGGGGGAGGGTAATAGGAGTCGTTCTCACTCTTTGACTCCTTTTGACACTAAAAAGGTTACAGAAAAAACAATCGAAATATCATAACGTGAATACAACTCTTATATGTATAAGAATATTACATGCTTATATATTTATATATATGTGTATATTACTATCTTGACTTAACCTAAAGGTGTCTAAAATGACATAAATATTCTTAATCCTACTTATATTATAAATGTGAAAGTTTGTACTTTTTTGTTTTTGTATGTTACTAAACCACGCAAAAACAACTGAATGGTATTGGATAAAATTGGGTACGCATTTAATTGAGGACCAGGAGTGAGGGATACGATACTTTTAATCTTAGAAAGATATATAAGATACTTTTAATCTTAGAAAAAATTAAGGTTCCCGTGGGATCTCAAAAAACTAAAGTTAACGCGAACGAAGCCGCGGGCAGCTGCTAGTTTACTATAACTCCGCTCAACATTAATGAAGAATCACTGGTTACATAAAAGTTGTTAACATTTGTATCGTTGTTTGCACAACATACATTTGTTCTAATTTTTTTATTTGTAGATAAGCCATGTTAAATATTATTTGCAATAAATTATGTTGCATTTTATTCTTTCATTCAAAAGTTAATTAAATAGGGTATGAAAAATTGATAAGTTAGGTGTAAGTGGATTATTTTAACCTTAGTACCGTTTTTTTCTTCAAAGCTAACAAAGTTGTTACACTAACTAAATTAAAACTTAGATATTTTTGGGAATGTTATGTTTCTTTTGGTACGTAAGGTTTTCGGAGCTCTTCAGGGTAGAAACAAACTGAGTGTCTACCTTTTGGTAATTCTGTGCTGGTTCTAAGCACGATTCCCAGAACATCATCAACATTCTAATAATGTAAAATAAGTGTTGTACCTGTAGTAAACTATATAAATTAATATTTCGAAAATTTCGATCAAAATATTTACATATACAAAGGTAATGCATTTGTCTATCATAAAACTACCTACGGACATCATTGACATATTTACTTATAATCATTTGTAATAGCATTAAAAAAACTGTCGCTCAATAAATATCATTACGAACACACGTTTCTTTGATTCAAACTTCTCAGTGATAGTGAACCTTGTCACCAAAACAGTACCTATACCATGTTTCGTAAAGTTAAGTGGGTATGCTATCTATAACCTTGTTTTAATAGATAGCGAAAATGATTTAATAGCGATCTAGCTCCATAAAATTTATTATAATGTAGAATTAAGAATATTTTTTTGAAATCGAGTAACAGTTTAATCGATTCTGAAATAAATCGAATTTACTTTCACTCTACAATTACTCTTTTGTTAATTTGAGTGCTCGTTCAATGTTTTTATGAACACATCAAGTGGAACGCGTTCCGCTATCAGTAAAAAAACATGTCAATTTACTTAAAGTTTTATTATGAACGCCACGTGTCAATTTATCTAGTATAAAAACAGATAAATTTTAAACATCAATTTAAAGACGTACTGTCCCCGTAGCATGAGCACCTCAATTTACGTTATTTATCGCGTCTAACTATCAAACTCCATAGTAATTTGACACTTTAGCGTGAGCGAGGAAACAAAAAAAACGACGGGTTGCACTCCGAGAGTGCCGGCAGAAGTGAAAACTTGAATTGTTGTGCATTTTTGATATTTTGGAATTGTTAGGTAATAATTTTGCATGAATTGCTTTAACTATCAGTATAAAAGTACTATCATTTATGGGGTAGAATACAATATTTATTTATAGCGCTATCGTACACAAACATGACAATTTATTTTACATTAAAAAGTTTATCTGTCAGAAAAAACAAACGTACATGAATCACTTTTAAGCGCACCTAGCGACATCTATTGTAAAAAAATGCATTTTCTTCGCAATAAAGCTGCCACCTGGACGTCCTAGTTAGAGACTTATTTTGTCCAATAAATTGAAAGTCAACAACTTTTCCAATTTTATTGTTTTCGTCTTACGAATTTTCGATCAGGCCACGTGTCCTGACGCGAGTTTAAAATTTTTTACCCATTACAAAAAAGTGTATAACGCCGCTAAAGAAGTTTTCACTTCAAAAAAGCATAATATACTATCATTAACAACCTGTTAGACAAACATGATTGATATCGACATTGTATTCATAAAGGAGAATGCCCATCGTAGTATGGACTGTAGTATCGCTACGAAAAATTTTGTACAATGACGGTTCTTACCTTATTTTGTAGGGTCCTATGTGTAGATTCAATAATTAAATATACTTTTTCTCTAGCTCGACGGGTAATACGAATAACGATATAACAAATGTCTATGTATATTAATAGTTCTTGCCTTCTCTTTTTCAAGTTTATCTATCTATAAAATGGTTGGATCAAATCAAAAATCAACTCAGCTTAAAGGAAATAGATGAAAATAATTATAAACACTGAAATATTTACCAAATAATCTGCTCGAAATTAGAAACGTCAGTGAAAAAAAAACAATTTGACAGACACCGTTGGAAATATTATTACCAGTTTCTAAAAAAATATGAATGAATCGATATTCCTCTTTCCCGATTTATCACTACTGGTACAATAGTTTAATCCCGCTTAATTATTTATTACACTGTCATAGATTTATGATCATAGTAGAAGCATAAATGTTATATTTTGCACGTATAGCACGTGCTATACGTGCACAATGCTTTTTTGAAGTGAAAACTTCTTTAGCGGCGTTATACACTTTTTTGTAATGGGTAAAAAATTTTAAACTCGCGTCAGGACACGTGGCCTGATCGAAAATTCCTAAGACGAAAACAATAAAATTGGAAAAGTTGTTGACTTTCAATTTATTGGACGAAATAAGTCTCTAACTAGGACGTCCAGGTGGCAGCTTTATTGCGAAGAAAATGCATTTTTTTACAATAGATGTCGCTAGGTGCGCTTAAAAGTGATTCATGTACGTTTGTTTTTTCTGACAGATAAACTTTTTAATGTAAAATAAATTGTCATGTTTGTGTACGATAGCGCTATAAATAAATATTGTATTCTACCCCATAAATGATAGTACTTTTATACTGATAGTTAAAGCAATTCATGCAAAATTATTACCTAACAATTCCAAAATATCAAAAATGCACAACGTTAATATTCAAGTTTTCACTTCTGCCGGCACTCTCGGAGTGCAACCCGTCGTTTTTTTTGTTTCCTCGCTCACGCTAAAGTGTCAAATTTTGTTACCACCGTGCGCATGGTGAAAAACCCGTGAAGTGCTTCTCGCGCGTTTCGGGGTCAGCCAGCGTAAAACCAGGGCTCGA